ACAGAAGATATAGGTAAGGCCAGAGAATTCTGACTTGCAATAACAACTGTTACTATGTTTACATAGAAAGGGGCTTACCTGGTCTTTACGAATTCTGATGGCATTGGTAGGGTCATTCTTGCAGTAGAAACGCACGTTGTTGATGGGATTTTTTTCCTTCATTCCATAGTCTATGTTTATCACCTAGAATAGAAGAAATGTTTTTAAAAATCACCCTTTTCAGAGTTCTAGGCTATATGTTATTTAAAATGTTATTCAAAAACCATGCTGCTGAAGTCATATGTAACTCAAGTTTGGGACAATTAAACATTTTGATGGTCAACTGCTTCCTGATATGACAGTTCTAGTATCTATATTAATTGGGACCAAGAATTTTGGCACAATGTCCAAATGGTGCAAGTAAATAAAAGACAACTTGCACATACTTGTGTTTGGAATGAAATGCTTATAAACTCACACTGACAATGAAGTCTCCTGGATCTAGATTCACATCTGATGGGACCTGTGGGATAGATTTTGCAACATCGCTGGCCAAAGTGTCCAGCTCATGCTGAGGAAAAAGAAACCAAAAGGGTCAGCAACAGTAAGACCCTGTAACAAAGACATATATGTATACAAAAATCTATACAATCAACTCCAAATATTTGCATAAATTATAAGTTGACCTGAACTCCAAATGAACATTTCAAGACTTTTCAATACAAAAAAAATAGCCAAGGATGGAATTTCTTTACTGTATGTATTAACAGATTACAGATAATAAATAATATCCACGATTATTGATGCATTCAGTACTCCTTAATCATATTTTTATCCTGAAATGTTTTTGGGGTGGGCAATTTCTCTCAGTCAAGTACAAAGAGCACTGGATAAGCGAGTCAGAAGAGCTTGTCTGAAATGTGGACCCAGAATAGTCTGCCTCTTCTTAAATGTACATATTGTCACCACTTTACCGGCAAGATCTTTGTGTCCGGTTTTGGCTGCGTCTGTCCGATGCACTTATACAGCTTCCGGCACATCACGTTGTTGAGGATTGTCCGAGCCTCTTTCAGCTCCGGGGCGGTGGAATACAGGATCTGCAGGAAGATGTGATCTGGGAGAGAGGTGGATAATCCCATTAAGCAAAGACTGTTTTGGAAGCCAAGAGGTAAAGAACCTCTTAGCAATGCAAAATGTAAATGCAATTGAAAACACACGGCATGATAACTTAAGCCTTTTCCCTGTCTTTTAACATGTTGAAAACATGAATTACAAACAATGAAATATCTTGAATGACACAAATTTAGTTAAGTTTCACACTTTGTATAAATGTGCACCAATATTTCAGATTCAATGTAAATAAGTTTAACACTCCCATCATGAAAAATATATTTTGTTTGTACCTATATTTTATCTTTTTTCTGCCATCATGGTGTTTCTGACATACCCTTTAAATTATGCACATTTTACCTCCTGCTCTGCTCTTGTGACAGCTGTGTTTTACACTTTACTATCAGTTTCTTGGGGGGGGAGGGCAAAAGCCACCAGAAACGTCAAGGGGCCACCCAAATGGCTCTACAGGTAAAGGCATTTGCCTCAGCAGAGGCCAAGAGTCAGCCAGGGTTCACTCGGCTTTCAGCCAAACGCTGTAGCCTCTTATGAACCCCCAAACTGCAATCAGGGCTGAATATCCAGTATGGGGTTGCCTAGTCCTCAAGACGAACAGCATGAGGGGTGGGCATGTCAGAGGAGTCTGCTTACTCCTCATTCTCCCGTGTGTGGTGGCAGGGTTCTTAGCTATGAGCCAAGACACAGACAACACACCACGGGCTATGCCCCAAAAAAATAAATCAGATGCATAGAATAAAAATACGTAGTTATAATAAACTTTAAAAAAAACACTGAAAAGAAAAAGCAGACCTGTCAGCTTGGTGTAGGCCTCCATATCATCTATTGCAGTGGAAATTGTGAATGTCCTTCCTTCGGAGCCTTCAATCTGGATGTATTTATCCGCCTTCAGGAAAGCCTCGGTTATCCTAAAAAGTAAAAAGGCTGCTATTTTCTTCTTGCTACAGTAGTTTGTTAACTGACACAATAAATAAATAAATGTGTCATTCTCTGGACATGGAAAGCTCGACTTAAAAACAAGCTGGCACATAACCCTCAAGATGAATCCTAGAAGAAACAAGAGTGTGCAGTTTAAACTTTACTCACATTGTCTCAATGATATTGCCAACCTTGTGCTGGTAGGCTCTGCGGTGAAGGCAGTTTCTAGTATGAAACATGTCATACAGATTCCCTACTTCCTGAAAAGAGAACAGAACAAGCCAATAAATTCACGAATAAAAAAACACACATGAATTAATCAATTAAAAAGTAATTTATTTACTTGGTTTACATTTTACTGTTTGGGTTTAAGTACGTTGCTGGGTACATATCCCAGCTGCAGTTTGAACCTACAACCTTCTAGTTACATATCCAGAACCCACACCAATGCTCTGCACTGCTACCTTAATCTTATGTTATTATTATTCTGTTCTGAACATTTTAAACAGAAAGGCTCAGGATCAGAACAGTATAATGCTTTAAAACCTCTGACGACAAGATCTGATAGTGATGAATGGATGTAGTTGTAACAAATAAGTTTACCAGCCATTTTCATTTAAAAAAAATCGCACCAATACCTTGTCTCTGGTACAGATGTGTTTCTTATTCTCAACCTCACAAACTCGGGCGAACTTCAGAAAGCGCTTGTAGTCAAAGTTGTTTTGAATTCCAAGGTGATGGCAATCCCTAGCACACAGGGACAAAAAGCAGCACCGATTAAGGGGAGCATTTGGTATACTCTTGCCTGTGCACAGGTGACCTGAAGGTACATTCTGAAGAGTCTATGTAATAAGGTTGCAGGCAGGGTATTGACAAGTCAAAACCAGAATGAATTCTGTACGCATCTGAAGTAGCATTTCAGTTTCTAAACAACTGAATACAGCATTTAAAAAGATTCAGACTGGAAGACACACATACTCTAGGTACAGCACATACAGACAAATGCAATGCAATAAAACTTTGTAGTCCAGCAAAATCCACTGTCACGGTTGTGAATTTAGATGGAAAACACACCTGGCAAAATAATCCCACTTGTCCACATCAATGCCATTTCTCTTGTTGGCCACAATCTCATACAGGAAGCCCTTCTCTTCTGAACGGCCCCGATAAGGCCACTGGAAGGGGTACAAAAGGAAAAAAAATCAATGGGTTCATATTCCCAAATAGCTTTCTTGTGATTTGTGTGTACTTCACATTTAAACCTCAGCGTACATCAAATTGGCAGTGATTCAGTTTTCCAATAATCAAGAGAATTATACGCATTACGGGCACCTTCATAAATATTGGCAAGGCCGGATTTCCCATTAGGCACTGTAGGCACAGTGCTTGGGGCCTATGAAAGTTTTAGGACCTACGAAGGAGGGAAACACTAGTGACTAACGAAAAACGAGCTGAAACAACATGCTCGTGATCAACTCTAGGTGCTCTAAATCAATAATCATATCCTATCCAGCGGCTGTTCTACAAACTAGAAGTATCGAAGTGATGGTCACTCCATCAATCGCATGGTTTAGCATTAGAATAGTGCAGCACCCCCACCGGTCGCTTTAGCAGCTGCACCTCCCCTTAGCTATGTGTCCACATGGCAGGCTAGGGGCAGCAGCCCCAGGCTGTACGTGAGGTCAGTGTGTTGATCTCAGATTGACCTGGTAGTGTAAATAGCCTAGAGAGTTTATGAGGAGCCATTGTAAATAGTTGTCAGTATTTGCTGCTTTGTCCTTGTAACCCACCGTAAACTGAAGTACCGCTCCTTAATCCTTACCCTGTGTGTGTGTAACCCCTTCCAGGAGTTTCAATCTCTGTCGGTCAAAGTACAACTGGCTGAGGTAAATAAACATGTTGTTGCTGGCACATGTGTGAGCTTCATTCTGTTGGAATCCCCCGGTCATTACAATAGTTTAAAGTGCATGTCAATCAACGTAATTAAATTGGTGTTTACCCCTCTTTTTCACATTTTGGAGTGAAAGTGCCTAGGGCCTACGAACGCCAAAATCCGGCCCTGAATATCGGTAACATTTTATGTGAAATATGGATTCCTGCTTTATTTTAACTGTTGAATATCATTTTACTGGCCTCCACATATAAAACAAGCATTACAACCGATGATATTAGTTGACATATTACAGTCAACATCCAGGTTGATCCAGGCAGGTGCTTTTTACTTGGAAGAACCTGTGCATTGCTGCACTGATGCAGCTAGGGAGTCTTTTAACTCCAGATCTAAATGCCTCTCAAGAGTCTTTAAAGAGGACTTACAATTCACTGTTCACAGGTAAGGAACGAGAACACAAGCAATCCTCCTCCTGGATCAGTAATTCACCATCCCCAGAATGCTAGCATTGCTGCTTTTGCCCCAGGGTGGACTTATGCACAGGGCTCCAGTCAGAGCTATCCTCGGCTCCCAACGTCCTTTTAATCCTGCTACTGAGTGATTTGCTCTTTTATTGTGAGGTGTGCTTTTGTTTGAGTTTTGTGCGTTCAGAAACAAGAAAAAACATCAAAAAGCGTTCATATATTATCTATTTCCAACCATTTTCTTTTTAAAACAAAACTACTCCGCGCGCAACGAAAGCACAACCAGTCCTGAAATCCACTCACAATGAAGGCACATCCAGTCCCGATTTCCGCGCACAATGCCGCGGTTTCTTTGCCTGCCAGACTTTATTCTGGGTTTACAGCCAACCACCCATTACATAAACCAGTGTCTGCCCCAGGCCAGGGGAAAATCAGAAACTCACGTTCACTCCATCACCTCAGGCGATCCTCGCAGGGAGCGGAGACTTCCCAGTCGGTCAGACAAGAGAGTCGGGACTTAAAATGAGTCCTTACTTCTTTCTCTCCTGCCGATGGGAAATCCCCACGCCTTCTGGAGGACCCTGCTCGCAGCGCCAAAATTGTTGTAACAGACAAATAAGTTCTGGAACCCGAGATGAAGTTGAACAAGCGAGTTTTATTGCATGCAAGGAACAATCGGAATTGTTCAAAGATTATAGGTACAAAGCACCAGTTTATATAATAAACTTCAGCTGTTTCTGACGCAAAATTGTTACCGCGGTAATGGGGGGAGGTCACCTGTGTTTGGACATTCTCCAGACCTTGAACACTTTGAATGGCTGGTCTCATCTTCCCATAGTAAGGGAGTCTCTAGCTCGCACTTGGAATCTCTTATCAGTTGACTCCCGTCCCTGCCATAACTCAAAAGAGCTTAAGCATGGAATGTTTTGTACCAAAAGAAGTCTTTGTGCAGAAAGAAATCAGTTAACCCTTTTTTCACATCTTATATCTTTCTTCACTACCAAACAGGTTAGATAAGCCAAAGGGCCTTCTCTCATTTCTAACTGTACTAAAAGAGAAAGTGGCTAAAAGCAGCTCTTGCTGAAAGCCTTATATTGCTGCCGCTGAGATGCCAGTATTTCCTTTATTATTACTGTTACAGCTTCAGGTGACTTAGAAGTGTCTCTTAGATTTTAGATAAAGTTTGTGACACTGAGAAGAGTAAACACTTCAAACTTCAAAGGAGAGAGGATGTTTGCTGAGGTATGTGGGGGTCCCTTGAGCAGAAACAATTGTAAAGTTTATCTTAGTATACCTAGGCAAGTTGTGGATTAATGATTGCAAAGTAGCAGGACAGAAATGGACAAAATAAGATCACATTAAGAGTACAAAGGAAGAAGAAGAGGGAGGAAGAAACAAGGAGCAGCAGGGAGAAGAGACAGTCCGCAGAGTTGGGACTTGAAGCTTGCGCCAGGCGAAAGTCCCTACTTCATGATCATCCAAATCAAACCTGACTAGAGCTACTGTAAGTATCTGAACCTTGTTAGAGAGAGTGTGCTATTCTGCGTTTTAGGGCACTTGGGTTTCCTGGGTAAAATATACCTCAGTAAGAAACATCTTTCCTGCTTAGGGTGCATTCTTATGGATAGAAATATAGGCTCCCATTTATTTTGTGGCATCCGGGGTGCAGAGAGAGAGATTTAACTGCAGTTTGCATTGTATTTAGTTAGAAGGCATATTAAGAGTTTAATGCTTAGTAGCAGTCTGAGGTTTTCTGGGGGTGACCAGAATGTTCGGCCTCTGAAACACCTTGCTTGTAAATACCGTACATAACATATCTTGTGTGTTGTATGTTGTGTGTAGTGCAGTTTGTGTTCTGTATTTGGAATAAATATTTGTTTAACCATGTGTGCCTGGATTATTACTCCTCTCTACTAAGCTGTGCCTGAGAACAAAGAAATTCACCTGCCTCTAATTATTCCAGCCACTCGGATATATTGCTAGAAATCACTTTCAAGTTGGGGGTTATAAATAATTACTGACTAACCCACTTCGTAACCCCCCATTTGTTACATTATTATTTACCTTATTGCTTCATTAGGTAATTACTGGTGTGGAGTTAGGACGGTATGTGAAGATGTGTTGGGTGGATGCAGTCTGTTATTGGCTTTATGTTGCTTAACTGTATGAGCTCACCAAATCCCATTCTATCCATGGTGTTCACCTCTGTGACTTAATTGTCTATATGCTCATGCACAATCCTGTTGGCTCATTACTCACTGAAGACTGGTTCTGGTAAGTGGGCCCAGCTATCTGCTCCTTGATGAAAATGATGTCATCCGGAAGAACTAGGCCATACTGCTCCATTGCAGTCTCCAGATGATTGGCAGATACCAGGTGATCGAACATCTGAAGAGAGGCAGTCTCATGCTGGAACATGCATGTACACAATTACTCAGGACCTCAGGATAACAAGATGGATCCAGCCACAGATAAAAAGTGAGAAAATGAGTCACACTGTACAGTTAGAAGCCTAGCACATCTTGTGTGAAGAGACAAATAACACAGAGAAATTATGTTATTCTTAGTTAAATGCAGCACAATTATAATTTTTTCTCATTTGATCTTGTGGCCTTGGCGTCATTATTTTGCCACAGCACTTAAAATCCCAAAAATATACAAAATTCTCTTCCATTACCTTCCAATTTAAGCCTGGGCGGGCTAGAGGGATGAATATTCCATCAAACATGTGAGAGAAAGGGCCGTGTCCTAGGAATCAATACGAGAGAACAAAACAAACTGTTAGTTCCGCCTCGCAAGAGTTAAGACGTAAAGCCTCAGCCAACAGAAGAGGCTATGAGGGACATGGCTCACCCAGGTCGTGACACAGCCCTGCGATCTGCACACACAGCATGTCCCTCTGGGTGATCCGCAGCTCCGGCTGTCGCTCATACAGGGCCTGGACCAGCCGGCCCGCCAGGTAGCCCACCCTGAGAGAAACGCACAACCTATGAACCATCACCAACACACCTGCTCAATGCCGCTCAGTGCACAGCAAGACTGCTGCCACAGTACTCCTGCCTGAGTCAGCAAGGAAACACGCCTACTGTGGCAGCTGCAGGATTTCCGACTAAATTTCCTTTGTTTGCTTTCTTAATGTTCCCAAAAGGCGTACAGCTTGGACATTAAAAATAGCTTCACTTTCATGTGAAGATGAACTGAGAGAGCACCATGTTACTGCCATTACGTTAAGAGTTTGCGCAAACTATAAACCTTCACTAACATGAACAGACAGTGGACGTGGAGCTGTGCCAGTGCAGGGTTTGCCTACCCGATGGAGTGCTCAAACCGGTTGTGGGAAGCTCCAGGAAACACTAAGTAGGTACCACCCAGCTGCTTGATGAAGCGCAGCCTCTGAAACTGGGGGGTGTCGATGATTTTCACCAGCAAGGGGTGCATCTCAATGTGACCATGGATGGGGTCGTTGAAGACCTGGAAGGCAGGAACTCACATGGAATAAACACTACAGGCACTGCAGGCTACAATTAACCCCACTGATTCTGAACAAAATCTGTGCTAGTTTAATGTAACTATTTTTAGGGTCCAGGTAGGAGGTGAAGGTAAATTCTGAATATCAATAAATAAAAAAAGTTCAGATTTATTTTAAACAGAGACTTTAGAGCTGCAAAAACAGCTGCTATCCCCCTTACTACATCCAGATCTTTACCAGTTCCAGCTCCTACACTATCCATGTGCATCTGGAAAATTAAGATGGAAAAACCACAAAAAACGGCTCTACCTTCATCCTGTCAACAGAAAACTGCCATAGATTTCTCAGACAGTGAAGAATCTGTAATCGGGCACCCAGAGGTCTGAAAAATAAAAGGAAACAATGAGCACAACAGATAGTTAACAGTCCTGGAAGTTACTGGGGGTTCATGCAGAATAAGTTCAATTCTTAAGTCCTGAAGGTGTTTAGAGATCAGAGGTTGCCCGAGTTCATACATCAGCATGGAGTGGCTCTTAACATTAAGCCTTAAGAGCTTTAATTGGATTCACTTTTAGATCAGCTCTTCCAAAATGAAGGAAGCTGGCAAGAAGGCCTAAACGCAAAATAAGAACTGTGCTCAAGCAGCCAGTATACTGTACAAGCATTCCCTTTTATTTTAATGCACCTCATTGTAAACTCCCTTACCCAATCCCCATTCTCTCCAGGTGAGCATCAGTAATGTAGGGCAGGCCCACACCTGTAATCTGGTGATCTGAAAGAACAAAAAAGGGGTCAAGGTCATGAAGAGAAAAGGGCTGCAATATAGCTCAGTAGTGCTTTAATGTACAGAAGTTCAGTAATGCACTGCCACATCACTAGACACAGGCACAGTGCAATTCAAAATGCAGGTTACTTAAAATGACAAAAGCAGGGTTTAAAATATGAGTACAGGCTGCCAACAAACAATGTACATTCATTTACTCTCATGTGCAAGAGCTCGTGATTTAAAAATATGGTATATGACTCAATCACAATCCGTTTAATTGAATATAAAAATTAGTTTAGAGTTACTGCTGCTTGCTTGCTGCCTCCCTACACCAATGTACAGTATATGCCATCTTCCTTGGCACACTTGGTGCACTTTGGTCCAGTCAAATGCAACCCAAGATCGAAAACAACTTCTCGCTGCTGCATAATATATTTGATAAGAGGATATAAAAGTACAGACACCAAGCTCCCACAGTCTGGAATACGAAGGGCAAGGAAGCCTTGGACAAGGACCAGGAACTACATGGAGGAAAACGAAAGTGAACGACACTGAGTGGAGGAGAAGCGGTTCGGACAGTAAAAAACATTAAAAAGCTTATTTTGGTTTGCACAGGACCTACATTCCATAGTAAAAAATAATGTGGGTTATTATAAAGATACAGTACGTTACTCCACTTGGTGAAATGTATTGTAAAATAAATAATTTATTGTAAAAACAGTCTTAACAGCAATCGGCTGATGTTTTCTGCCATGCTTTACCAAATTCGACGTGGGTCGTTTACGAAATTACGGAAATTTACAGATGAAACCACTTCAGCTTCTATGTACTGTATATATCAAAAGTCAAGTATTTTGATGTAAATTCGTGCACCGATACCCACGAGACTAAATAGCATAAACCAGTTATAGTCAATCAAATTACAGTAGTTTGATACCACGATGTATTATTGCCGAACAAGAAAGTGTTACTACAGCTCAGGTCAAACGCCTATTCCTAATCTGCAAACGCGCATGCATGACGTCCATTGCATTTTAAAAATAGAAAACACCCCCACCTCTAAATTTTTGTTGCCATTCTCCAAACCCTTTCAGTTGCAGATATTTGCACGTTTCTTCAACACCCCAGTCCTGATAATCAGTGTGTCGCCACGAAACGTCCGAAACCTTCTTTTCGGGAGTTACGCACAAGTCGGTAGGCAAGATCTCTTCTCTCAAACGCTTTCGATTTTCGAGCCGGCTCATGCTTATCTCTTGTAAAAGTATCAAATGCAATAATTTTGTGTACGTTCAAAAAATATATACACAAACGAAATCGATTAGATTTTCCACTCGGGTGAGTGTTGCCGGCTCTTTTACACATCCGCTTTAGTTTTACCGGCTCCAGCAAAAGCTCAACCTACACCAACCACTCCAGCTCTTATTGGTCACACTGTCATATGAATGCAGTTATACCAGAAACGCACCGCCTCTCATCGGGAGCCCACGCCTGCAGTCTGGACCGTGACGTAGAAACTACTGGTGCCATCTACCGGGTTTCATTTTTTCCACCACTGGTTCCAGTTCTTACATTATTTTAAAACAAACTGAAGTTTAAAACAACTAAAATTTCCATATACGAAAATTACATGTAAAGTGAAAGATGTTTTAACAGCAAGGAGCAGACAAAGAACGACATGCAACATCGCGCCTGTACTTTGTCTGCTGGTTACATCTACAGTACAGTATATCCCTTCACTTTCAAAGTACAAAAATAATAGCCGTAATAAGCAATATAAGACACCCGTTATTTGAGAGGAGCTTTCTTTCAAACAATTCCAGACTGCAATATTACAAAAGTAAAAGCCCTACTTTGAAATTCTGTCTGTTGTGTTTTTTCATCATCCCTTATCCTCTCGATCAATTTATAATTACAGGTAAAACCAAAACGCCTTCAATCTTAGTAGAAACGAACTTAAAATTCTTAAACTATGTGTGTACTTATATGATTAGTTGAATATATTTACATATTCATAAAGAGCTATACAATATACAAATTATAACCTGTATGTCTTAAAAAAAACATCTAAAATGCTGCTGATGCTGCCGTTGTCAGGCAAGCGCGATGTTTTCTTGTGAAATTAAGGCTTTGCATTCGCATAACAATTATCCTCTTAATTACTGTACTTGTGTCGCAAGACTTCGTTTTTCAGGTAAAACAGAGCCATCCGCCTGATTATCTACTGCTGGCAAACTAAAGCTTTTATAGAAGGGCTTTCCAGCTTCCTTATAAAACAAAAACAATTTTAAAAAACAGTCAATAATTACCTACAATGGCTATCAAAACTATTCACTCGACATGATTTCCCATTATTAATTATGAATAATGTATGCTCAGTTTTAAAGTTAAGATTTTAAATCAAACCGTGAGCTTTTACTTCATTAAATTATTTCATAACGTGAGTTTTTACTTCATTACAATGTCACTTTATTCCCATGTTTCTCTTAAAAAAAAACATCCAGATTAATTTATAATAAAATATTTATCCTTGAACATCCATCTTTTGTCTTCCTCATCAAAAATTAAAAAATGTAAAATAAGAAAAATCAATTATTTCTCCCAATCTGACATTTTATACATTTTAAGTTTTTAATTTAAATTCAGCACAATGAAAATACTTCAAGCAGAGAAAAATTATATGCACCATTTATTCTAATTATACCACAATGTGGATTTCAAAATTTGTCCCCTTTTAAATCATGTCAGTTCTAACGTGTTCGTAGTGAATTATGTACGTTGAGCCTTGAATTGTAAAATGACTGGGTTAGACAGGGTGTATAAAAACCATACTAACCAAATTAAATTGCAAATACAGTACCACATATCTGCGGAGAAAGTCACAAAAAAACAGTGACTGGCTCAGCATGTGAGCTTTGCGCTCCACAAGCAAAGCATAAATCTGAAAAAGAAACATACCACAAAAACACCTTAAGATAGGATTCACTTGGACTGAAGCCATTGATTTTCCTCAACCACAGCGCGTGTGATGTGGTGAAGTGTGTTCAAACAAGAGCTTAAAACAAGTGAGCTGGAAACAGAACACGAGAAGCACAAAGACAAACTATGATCACTTTTTGAATGGGCAAAAACATACATTTTGCACTCTAGAGATGACAGTACAAAGACTCTTCAAGGATAATACTTGACGAGCCAACAACGGACAAGGCAAGGCAAATATGAAGAGATAGCCAAAGAATAACGCCTTCAGCGACATCCCTCATTGGAACCATGCTTGGGGATAAGACTACAAAAGTCATTTTTACCAATTATCAAACACTATCCCATGGCTCATCAATGACATGGCTCGTGCTGTTCTGTGTAAATTAGTGAAGTGAATCGCCAGCAAAAGTTATTTAGCACTACAATTTAGTCTACAGATGTGGTAGATGTGGTAGACAGTGTATATGAACTTCTTGTATATGTGTGATAAATTAATAATTCAGGTTCTACACATGAAGACATTTTATTTTGCAAAATGTTACCCAGCTGAACAACTAACCATTTCATCAATGACCACAGAGTTCCATGGTCAAGATGTGTTGGAAATTGCACTGATGGTGCAAAATCAACAACAAGGGGCTTGTTAAAGCAGTGGCTCAAGATGCAATAGGGGTGCATTACAGGAAACACAGGGAACAAATTACCACATGCCTGTCAATGCAAGGGAAGTACTGCACAATGCTGTAAGAATGGTCAAGTTAATAAAACCACATCCTTTGAATTACTGCACCTTTTCTGAACTGGATAATAATATGGGAAGCAAACAGATTAAATTGCTGCTGCACACACAGCTGTCGGCTCTCTTGGGGTAAAGTGTTGACCAGGCGATTTAAACTGCACAAGTCCAGCCATTGCCCACTTTCTGTCATTATTCAGCCACTGGTGGTCAAGTTCTCATGTTCGAGGATGTTGTCTGAAATTTTTGCTCTTTAAATTGGACTACAATAGCAAAGGTCAGAAGTTTTCAATGTGCAAACCGAACTGAAGCCGCAGTTAAAAGCTTAGTTTATTCTTTGAAATAAAACATAAGAGGTGTTTCTAAGCCTGCAAGAGTACCTGACGACTAAAGAGCTTCAATTGCGGGACAACTTTAAGTGTTAAATCGAGTAGGATATCATACACCTGGCACAGCAATTACAGGTTTATTTTCTCTAAATGGTCAATACAAAGAGCTGGATTCTCTACCTTTTTTAAATTTCCCTACCTCTCTGGTGCCACACAATTCAACCATAAATGAGCAAGAATCTCACTGAAACAGAAACTAATGGTGTCCTGAAGACTGAGCTTCAACAAACACATTTGCCAACGCAATCCGAGTATCCACTGTATCAGGTAGGGCAGTCAAGGGTTCACTGTAATTTGCCACCTCATAGCTTTTGAGAAAGTGGATTTTGGTTCACAGGGAAATCACTGCCCATTAGCTGAAAACCTTGTGTCTTGTGGCAGAAACCGTCGCCTACAGTACCTTCTGCTCCGGGAAATAGGCACAATCATCACATTAGTTGTAAAATGCATTTTTGATATTTCTTATTAGCATTTTCGTGTGTAATTATAATTACAATATGTGCAGGTACAAAAACGACTAGGATTTTGGAATATATAGGTAGTTCTGGATAGAATCGGTCAGCAAGAGTATCCTATTTCATGGAAGTAAAACAAAACAATAAAATCCTCACATCTTTTAAAATAATTATAAAATTTACAAAACTGTTCACGATGATTTCATTAATTGAGATAATTCTTCAGACAACTGTAGTTGTTCCTGGTCCTTCCTTAGTGTTGTCATCAGGTGATGGGCCTCATGTTCTTCCTCCACACAGAGAGAGGCAGCGTGGTTCATACGATTAGGGGGTTGTCCAGGACTGCCACGCCTGCAGCCACACCCCCATCAGAATGTTCTGCACTCTTGGTCCTCAGCAGGTGTCCTGCACACTCGTTCAGCACCATCCGTTTATCCTGCCTGTATGAGCACATGGAGTTGAGCACCAGGAATTAACTTCCAATACCCTGTTTCCCCAAATTAATCTGCACAGGCCTGCACAACTGATCAGACAGTATCGGGTAATATAGGTATGGGCCCAAATCAGAGGTCTACTGGCATTTTATAAAATACTGGGTTAAATTCCAGGCCTGGGATGCCAACTGTGTGGAGTTTGAATGTTCTCTTCCAGTTCTCACAGCTCTCCTCCAACAATTCCAGTTTCTTCCCACAAACCTACATAGTTTTACACATTCTCCAAATTCAAAGTACTAGAAAGAGGTCTGAATTCAAATCCCTTTCATGTCCTTACAATCAAAACTGCTTAATAGTGCAGAAAATGGAAACCATTACGTTTTCTTAAATATTAGAATATTTGAAGCAGAAAAACATGATTCAAAAATCCATTCAATGACAAAAATTACTCTTCATAATAAGTAACTGCACCTTTTAAATAGATTTCTTTTTACAAGAGATCACATTTACGTGTGTATTTGTAATAGGTTATTTGGTGTTTTAATGGTGTATGCTTATGATATATTTGACATGAATTCACTAAGACCTTTACTGGGTTAAGCCTGTATGTACTTTTTGTGCCACAATATTGAAAGAGTTCAATAAATTATATTGGAGATGACATATGTATGTTCTGTTTTTTTTCGGTTTCTGTTGGCGAGCACCTTGTGAAATTACAATGACCAGGTAAGACCCTTAAAGAACAGAGCCCAGTCTGATTAATCCCCTCAGCACCCTGGCGGTGAAGAGACTGACACACTGTACCTGATGTAGGCCCCAAACACACCCAGCTCACTCAGGCAGCTGCTAAGCTTCACAGCACAGCCACTTCTCAGCAGGTAGTTCTTCGTAGCCTGAGGCTGGACCTTGTCCATCAGGATGTAGGCAGTTCTGTCAGGGCTGCCTCTGGCCTTGTCCAGCACCTGGCAAATCTCCCCCCCGTAGATATTGTTTCCTGTGTGAGAAAACAGAATATTCACAACTGCAGGCACTGGCCTTGAATTTGTAAAATACTTGTTTCCTGTGTGAGAAGAGAGAAACTGCACTTCAGAAGAGACCTAATTCCAGAACAAGAAGGATGCAATATTCACAATGGCCTTAAAATATGACCTCGATTTTTTATTTTTTAACATACTAAAGAAGTACAGTGTGTCCTCTCACCTCCCCCTTCTCTCTGAGGTTTTAAAACAAAATGCTCTGGGTTAGCCAGGGCCATGGCTACAGTCCTGTCTCCTTCTTCTCCCTGTGGATTTAATTGCAGTTTTCAGTCTGTAAGCCATTTTACATTAGTGGATAAACAGAAGTGAAGGTGGAAAGAAAGAAATATATATATTGACTTAAACTTACTATGTTAATTCTAACAGGGACAATAAATTGTTCAAAATGTTCAATAAGCAGGGATGCACGTTCAGCATGAAGTTCAGACAATGCCAGTTTGAGTGTGGGCTGCCATTGGCAACCTATAGGTGCATTTACACCAACATGAATATTCACCATCCACCACACAAGAGGACATTTTCCATTGTGCAGCAACTTAGAACATATTCTGGTACAAGTGGAGAAATTTCCCAGATTCCACAGCTCATTAGGTACTATATCAATAACAAATAAAACCCAAATTCAAGGCTATATTTTCAAGAACAAAATATTTTTTTAAGCATGAATGATGCAATTCCGGTCAAACTAAAAGCAAAATCATCCTGGATTAGTTCAAAATTGGGTCTGGATGTAATAGTATTGTAATAGTAGCTTTTAATTCATTTTAGTTCACTGTCAATTAACACTCTTTAATCATATTCTATAATTCCATGAAGAATCAGAGTAATTCATTCCTACTCATAAAGGGTGTGGTGAATATTCAATGTGGGCTAATAGTTTGCTGCTGTTCTTCTCCATGCTTATACTAGGGTTATCTCACCATGTCCAGGGTGTAGAGGCCAGTGAAAGTAGCTCTGATCTGAGCAACAGCTGTTGGGTTGTCAGGGAAGAACCTCTCTAGAACTCCGGGCCGGGTCAGTTCTTGCTGGACCTTCTTGGTCCCGGCCAGGTGGGCACC